CTCATGAGTAGGTGAAGAGGTTTCATGAAAATCTCTTTTCCTTAAGTCTAAAGTGCTACTCTTACTTTACTCAATCTCTACAATATTGTTTCCTTCATCAGATACAGAAGTCCTGCAAACCAGTAAAATTCCCCTTGTTTTAACAAATAACTTTCCTAAATGACCTTTTCTAAAATGTTTGTCATTTTGGAAAGTAAAACTATTAATTTACAATAAAACTGATAAGATTTTCACTTCTTAACAAGTAACACACCAAACATCTTCAGAATTATCTAGACATTCTTAAGCCTCATGATCACAATGGTAGAAAACTGTCACATGAGAAAAGACAGGTCTCTGAGCCCCACACAAACGGTAGTTAGTATTTTAAAAGCAGAAAGTGGTATACCTGTGAAGTATACATTATGCAGTTACACAAACTAAATTAACTTTCAACTTGGCATTATGACAGGATAGTTGGGAGAGAATGTAAAAGAAAATACTCAACAGCTTAAAATTAACAATGGGCCCATTTATTCAAGGTAGGATGGTTCTCCCCTTTTAGCTTGAGAGGACTGAAAGTCTCTTTGCCTGTAGGAGGCAAACTCCAGCGGGCCCACCTGGAGAATCACTCAACTATACACCCACGGCGTCACTCAGTCACGAAATGTCAAGGAAAGTCTTCATCTTCACTTTACACTGAAAACCAACACAGAGAAATGTTGACTTGAAGGTGTTCAAATTTCAACCTTCAAAGACCAATTCAATTCATTTCTCCTGTAGGAAGCTGACCCACCCCCACAAGCACTAAAGATCTATGCCCAGTGAAACTGAGAAACACGTATCTGTATCTTTGCCATTTCATCAAATGTTGTCTGGTGACAGGTCTTACGACACTAATACTGTATTTATTTCTTTTCTCTGCAACCTTTGTACTCCCCATACTATCTTCTTCATGGCTTCTAGGAACTGCTGAATGAATGCATTCACAGCAAAGTGTTTCATGGCTCTGTCTTTCTCCATTCCATGCTACATTTCCAAACAGGGTTCCATATTCTAGGAAACGATAAATGTCTTCTGCTTTTCAAATCCAACTAAAATCCTGTCTGAGCTCTTAACAACTGATCCTCCCCTAACGCTTGAGAATCAAAGTTAGTTATTACTTGGGTATTAAAATGTCTGACCTCATTCTTATTTGCTTAAGGAACATCACAGATGTTTTTATGGAGAAATGGGATATCATTTTAGTAAATCTAAATATCAGCATTTAAGGAAAAAACTAACATACATCAGAAAATAACGCAGCAGAGGACTCCAACTTTAGGATGCTGTATTTAAAAGATGTTATTCACAAATATATTATCCTTCTTGTAATTCCATCATGAGAAACACCAACTTGCCAAAATATGGCTTTGAATTGTGCAACAAGTCTCCTATTTCTTCTTATAAAATATACTGGCAAAGACCAATAAACCCACACAGCTACAATGAAACCCTTCCCCACATTCCATGGCTTCAAGGCAATTCCATAAATACAGGGTCATAAAAAGAGCCTGCAAACTCCTGTAGCCAGCACTCAATTTTAAGAATAGAAAACTGAAGATAATGACACGTGACCATGCAGTTAACGGCAATCTGAGAATCTCTTAAGGTTTGTAGGAATTACCAACCTTTTCTTAGAAATCAATCTACCAAAAAAGAATGCAAAATTCATACAGTATAGGTGATGAACAAATTTGAGTGAAATGTTAAAACTTTATAGTTTGTGTGCTTTAAGATACAAGTCATATTCAGCATATTCTGGTAACGACAAAATCTCAAGAAACTAGAATGTTCAAGCCCCAGCCAATGGCTTATTTACCTCAAATGCATTTGATATCAGAGTTCCAATATTTTAAAGAAATATAAATAGCCCTTTGGAGTTCAACATAATAATACCTGACCAAAGGAAAAATTGTATACTTCTGAACTCTAAATATAAAGAGTTTGTACAACTTTACAGCTAAGCACAAACTTATGATTTATTTTTTCAAATACAAAAGACTATAAGTAAAAGTATATAACTGCTATGTTCCCTTCAATTATGGGAAATTTGCTATTTCATGTCTCTAAATAAATTTTTTTTAATTTTATAGTAATATTGTCGTAAAACAACCGAGAGAATACTATATGCTAGGCCTTGCTAAGAATTTTATACCATTATTAAAATAAGAGAATCACTAAATTACATGTTTTAAGGCATGTTTTCAGGTTTTAATTGCTTCTTGATACTATTAATCTGGTGACACTGAAATATATCCCAATTATTTTATATAATCAAGGCAGAATAAATATAATCAGAGAACTAATTAAGATGAAGTATAACACTAGTAATCTTACTACAACAAACAATATAAATTAGTTACTAGCACACATCTTTATTAGACAATGTTACTAGGCATGTTTGAACCACACAAGGGGTTAAAAATAACTACAATGAAAGGCCAACAGCCTAGCGGCACAGTTGAGCCAACATTCCCTTCTCTCCTCCCCCTTCCCTTCCCATCCTCTCCAGTTCAGAATGAACTGCATGCCCCACTGCACATGGCCCAAAAAGGTCACAGGAGATGGCAGAGACTTTTGTAAGAGAACAGAAATAACTCAGCAGCTTTGTTATGGGTAGTTTCTTTTAATCAGTATGTTCGAAATCCTTTAATTAGCACTCTGTCTACACAAGGAAAACATTTCTTCTGTGCCAAGGGAGGGCACGAATGTATGTACACAGTGTTCAGTTTTATCAGCATCACAACATGTAGCTAGGCCTCAAAATGTCTGCCAGGGAACTGAAGTGCAGAAAACTTTTTAAAAAGAATGGTACCACATTTACATATCAATTTGCATTTCTATTACCAAACAACAAATTGATGATTAAGTTATTTATTTAAATGTAAACTTATTTCTGAACTATTTTTTCAGCAAAAATGGAATTATTTTAAACTAAACAATAACTTTTTTAGTCCACTATCATAAAGATATTCATACTTAATATAAAATAAAGTTAACAGCATATAAATAAAGACAATATTCAAATATTGTTCCTTTCTGCATAATAGATCTCCAGTAGGAGAAAAATAAATAAAACACTGCCTCATTCAAACAGGAATAAATCACAACACATGTCTTCACAAGAATGCTTTACATTTAAAATTTCATCCAACCACAAAAAGTCTTAAAACCTGCAGCCTGGATTACATATATGTATTTCCTTGTAAAATCTAAAAAACTGAAACCAAGACAGAAATTAATAATAAATTAATTATAACTATTTAAAAATCCACAGACAAGAAACAAGAAATGATAACTATTTTAAAATCCATAGTTAAGAAAACTTCTTTAGTAAGCTGAAATATGCAGTATTTTAATGGAGATATGTACATATTACAAACTTACACAATCCTTTAGGTTGTGTGTATATTATAAGTAGTGTGTGTTTTATATTTATACATACATACATATATAATTAAAACAATAACCTTCTAAATATCTGATTATAGAAGCAATTTACTTCAATCAAAAATAAAGTTTATTATTAAGGAGGCAGCATAGTATAATTGCTTGAAAGCCAACTCTTCCACACCAGCCATATGAGCTCACAGCACAGTTCTATACAATGGGAATAATACCATCATTCCTCACGATGGCAGGAGAATTAAATGAGATAATGCATGTAAAGCACTTGGCAAAAATCCCAAAGTCTCTTGGTTAGGCTTGGAGGAGGGGGAAATAGGTATTTTTATGCACTGCACAAAAGTGTAAATCGGCACAACTAATTAAAATTAGACATACGTATAAAATTATGTCTATATAGTATCAGCTGCAGTTCTGTTTGTATTACCAATACTGAAAACAATATAAATGCCCTTCAACAGGGGACTGGTTAAATAAACATTACTTCCCTACAAGAGAATTCTATACAGTTGTTTAAAAAAAAATAAAAATCTTTATATATGAATAGGCAAAGTTCTCCATGGTAAACTGTTGAGTAAAAAGCAAGGTATGGAACAGTGTATATAATATGCTACCATATAAGTAAAAGGAGAGTAGACACTCACATTTCTTTGACTATACAAAAAAAAAAAAAAAATCCTCTGGAAAGTTATACAAGTAATTAACAGTAATAATTACCTACTAGTGATGAAAGTGAAACAGTACCTGACACAGTCAAGCCCCAATAAACAAAAGCTATTATTACTCCCCTCATCATCATGAAAACATATCCTTAAAAATGCATACATAATCCGTTCAAACTAAATCCTTAATGAGGTAAACAGCCAAATCTCAATTATTCATAGACTGACTATCTAGTTGGAGATCCAAGCCCTTCATTTCCTCTTCAAAGGTTAGTAGCTTTTGGCCATTGTACTGTTGGCTATCACCTTCACCAGAAAGTGAGCTGAGGAAATAACACCAAAAATAGTCATTTTATTAATACTGAGCAACAGTTTTTAATAAACAGCTTTGGAGCTGAAAAGAACCATGAAAATCCCACAGTGCAACTTTCTAATGTTACATATGAAGAAACTAAGGTCCATAGAATTCCCCAAATTAGTGACAATTCAAAGATCTGGAGTCTGCCCCCTAGTTAAATGCTTTCCATTTTATTATTAATAACGTGAAGGAAAAATGAAAATAAACATAACTGAAATTAATTATCCTTGCTAAATTCCCTCCCACCACATCTTTTACTATAGGTAATTAAGTTTGCTGAGATCAAATCTCATAAGCCAGCGGTCCCCAACCTTTTTGGCACCAGGGACTAGTGCTCCTATGACAATCTAATGCCTGATGACCTGAGGTGGAGCTGAGGTAGTGATGCCAGCGCTGGGAAGCAGCGACCTTTACTGGTCCGCAGGCCCAGGGGTTGGGGACCCCTGCCATAAGCAATCGTAATAAGTAGAACGGGTCAGCCAGATAATTAGTACTGAGGTCCCCAGGACTAAGCATTGAATGAACATCTGTAATAAAATCTGGAGTTTGCTTACACTAGAAATTGTCAGAGGCATGTTGAAATCTTTGCCACCTTGCAGCCGGAAACCCCAAGGAGCAGGACCAACCAAGGACACGCTGTAGTTGCTCATGGTTTTGATGGCTCAAAATTCAATCCCAGAAAGTGAAAGAAACTGTGAAAGAAAATCAGAAGGTTAAAAAAAAAAAAAAAAAAGTTTATTTAGAGCTCTATTACATATCTAAATGTATTTAATATAAACCCAACTAAATTATGTTCAATATTTTGGGTTTTTATTTTAGGGAGTGAGAGGATATAGAGAATAAGTCTATATTAAGTTCTCATTTGAGTCTAAGAAAAGGAACCTATGAGCTAACATACAATTTATAAACTCACACCAATTTCCATAGCCTAAAAATTCCACATCAGAGTATGTTTCTAGACACTTGATCAGTTTTACAACTTGCTACAATTTGCAGCTTCTTGCATACAAACTTTAACTCAAAGTACTTTACAACACTTTGTTATATATATATAAGCAAGCACAAGATTTTATTTCAGGTTTAATTCAAAACAATTTTCTCCTTCCCTCTACCTCACGCATTCTTTTGCCTGCAGTTGGCAAGAATCTTTCAATTTCACTAACTTAAATTCTAAATTACTCTAACATATGAAAAAAACTGCTAATTTGCAGATTCTCATTCATGCCTTCCAAATACTAAACTCTTTAAAAGTTGTTTTTAATGCACAAAACTATTCTCTCCAAACATAAACTACAACTTGTATTTCCTCTTATAGGGAAATGTTATTTCCCACACTTAAAGTAATACTTTTTCTTCAGACTGGCAATACTCTAGCACAGTGACATTTCAGTCAACCTCCTTTCTGTTTACACACACATTTCATCAAGCAGAGTGAGCATTTACCACAAGTTGAGACTAACTGGTAGGAGTATAGCTCATCTCAATGCACAAAAGTAAACTGCAGCTTTAGAAAAGAACCAGCACTTCAATGCTTTTTTTGTTTTGCTCTAAGTGGACTCATAATGCCACTCGTGGTATGACTTGGAGGTTGGTACTGGTTGCTATGGTGGTTATATGTGGGTTGGAGAAAATAGGAAGAATGAAAATTTTCTAAAAGGTAATACTAAGAAATATAATATTTCCCACTAAAAAATATTAAAAACTTAACAGATGTATAATGTAATAATTTTAAAACCACTTTATAAAAAAGCTGTTCAAGACACACTTCCCTGGAGAAGCTGCTGTTTAACCAAACCATCACCTTATATTACCTGTCTTAAAATATTTTTCCATTTTTTTAACCCATTCAAAATTTATATCCTATTACTGATAGTAGCAGATGTAGATATTGGAACCACTAGATATACTAAAAGCAAATAGATTCCATCTTTTCATAAGGGGAAAATAAGACAAAACATTCAAATAAGTCTGGTTCTTAAAGAAATATTAAATCAGTGAAAATCTGCATGGCATCTACCTAGAAATTAAATGAGCTTTCTCTCTCGCACGGTAGTACATTAACTACTAATAACATTACTTCAATACTGATGTAATAGGCAGAAGGCACTAGAGACCCAAGGCCAAGAGAGAAGTCAAACTGTTAGATATATGTGAAAAACAAATACTAGGGAGGTAATAAGGAGAAACAAAATTTAATTGTTTTCTCGCTATAATAAAAGAAAATTTTCATAGAACTAGTAAATATAGTTTTGATACTGGCAAACAATACAAATCAGAAGCGTATAAAGCCAACAGATATTTCACGCGCAGCCTGACCCTTCCTTTTTTAATCCTTAACTTTTGTCAAGAAATATGTGAGAGTTAGGCTCAACTTCTGGCCCCACTGTTCCCCACAAGAAATGTATTTAATTAATGTATCGATGCAAGTAAATACAACTTCCCTTTATTTGGGAGCTCCCTTCCTGACTTCTCCCATTTGTTATTAAAATTTCCAGCACTGGCAAGGTCATAGGCACACTACAGAATCAGTACAGTCATTTCAATTATAGTATTCTCCCTCTGCTAGCTTCATCTGCCTTAAAATATTCTGATCCCTAAGCAATGGTAATATTACTGGCCTTTTCCGGTCTCCTCCATCTGGTTATTGGTGCCCAAACTCCTCCTAAAATACTAAGCAGGCAGGAAATAGCAGCCTATTCTGCTTTCAAACATGTAGAAAATGCTGGAACTTCTGTATAGTCCTGGGTTTTCTCTTAGGGGAAGTCTAAACAATGTCTACACTCTAGTGCTTGGTTATCTCCCACTCTCCTATCCCAGCTTCTTTTAATGGGTACGTAGGGGGAAAGGAGAACTCCCGATGAACTGCTCGGGGTAACAAAAAGGGTCTGAAATTAAAGAGCAATATCTTGAGATTCTCTTTTTCTCCATTATGAGAGACAGTGGAGATAGAGCTGAAGAACTAAGGCCAGAGGCACAGGATGAAAGCAGCCGACGAGACAATTTTCCAGCAGATGTTCACGCCTAGCCCTGTTTGCCAAATAAGGCTCCCTAGCAGGCTGTTTCCGTGGCAGGCGGGTTCCGACGTCCTCACGGTCAGGAAGGCGGACTTGGGACAGGATCTAGAGATCACACCCTAGACCTGCCTTGCCCAGCGCAACTACGATTTCTCTTTCCAAGCTCTGCCCTGCTGGGACATACGCCCTTCCTTTTTCCACTTATTTACTGTCAAACGCACTGAGACCACAGTCTTACAAAAGCCTCAACAAGCACGCAAGTATTAATAAATCTGGCGTTCACGACAGGTTGTTATTAAAACAAGCTTTATTCCTGGACGCACGGAAGTTTTCCCCGAACAGGTTACACAATCCTAAATATTTGGAGAAAAATAAATGCTTCTTAGCAGCGTGAGAGCAAACAAAAACACGCCATTCCTGTTTAGTCCCGCTTCCTTCCCACACCCCCGAGAGATTCGCGCAGGACATGGTGGACCGGACGCCAAGGCGGGAGCTCGGCGACACCCGCAGCCGGCTGGCGAGCCGCTGCAGGGAGCCGGGGGCCCTTCCACGCTCGCCCTCCCCACCCCTGCGTCCCCGCTCCTGCGCCCCTGCCTCCGCCGCGCTCGTCCCGGCCCGCCAGGGCTGCGGGGTCCTCCAGTGCCAGTGCTAACGGCGTGGCGGCCCCTCCCGCGCCGCCCTCCACCGCGCGCCGCTTCCCACGCTGCTCTCCCACCTCCGCCGCGTCGGGAAAGCACCTGAGAAGCCGCCCCCGCGCAAAGCGCGCCCCCTCCGCCTCTGCGGCTTGGCTCCGCTCGCGCCTGGCGCACGGAGACAGCTTCTCTCCCTCCTCCCTACTGCGGATCAGAGACGCGCATCCCCGGCGGGCGGCCACTCACCTCGGGTCCGGCGCGGCGCTGCCTCCGCCTCAGACGAGCGCTGACAAGTGATTCGCGGTGCGAGCGCCGACCTTACAGCCCGCGGGAACTTCCGCCTCTTGGCTCTCCGCGGCCCCGCCCCCGAGCCTGGACACGCCCCCTCCGCTCCGGGACACGCCCCTGGGCCGGACACGGCCGCGCCGCAAGGGCGGTGGATGTTGCGGTGTCTGGGCTTGCTGAGGCGAGCTGAAGCCGCCACCGAGAAACAATTGCGCTACAGAGTTTCGGTGGGAGTAGTCTTAGGGGTTTGCAAACAGCACCTGGCAAAGGTCTGCTCCACGTGTATGTTTTGCAGCGGATGGGTGCATTGCTCTCTCCAGAAACTTTGTATTGGAGAGCAGTTGCTCTAGCTAAAAAGAGAAGGGAGTTTTGGATAAATCCCTGTCTATGCAATTTCAGTGGCTACTGCATGTTTTGTTTTGTTTTTAAGAGCTTTATTATGTCCTGAAAAGTGCAAACCCTAAAGTTAGCTTGTCAGGAAGGTGAAAATTAGTACTTTAATATCTAGAAATTAAATCCTGTGATCACACCAGAAGACAGTGATAGAGAACTGTGGCAAAAAGCGGTTCGACCTCTGTATATCCTCACCCTATTTTTCTAAGTTGATAATAGTCCACTTTCAACAGCTTCGATAGTCCAGTTTCTATAAAGTTGCTTGATTTAGCCCAAGAAATTTATTCAAAAACTTGAATAATGTTCAGTGAACATTCAGAAAGTAACTTATCTTTTTAAAACTGTGAGTTGGCCTATAAAACGTGAAAAGGACAATTCTTAACCAAGAGACATAAAAAGCAAGGATCAACATCATGGAGTCCGTGAATCCCTTAAAAGTACAAATGCTAGAGAAGGTCCAAAGCTGCTCTAAAACGGTAGCCACTAACCACCACGTGGCTACTGAACATTTGAAATGTGGCTACTGTGACTGAGGCACTGATTTTTTTTGTTTTCTATAAGTTTAACTAATTTAAATTTAAAAACTGAAGCAGAGTACCTATTTCCATAAAACACACTTCATTGTTTGGTTAGAAATACATTTCACTGGAACATTGAAAATTTAGTGCCAACTTGAAATATGCTGAAAGTGTAAAAATGCATACTGTATTTTGAAAACAGTATGAAAAATATAATATGAAATACCTCAATAATTTTATATTGAGCATATGTTGAAATGATAAAATTTTAATATTTGGTTAAATATGTTATTAAAATTAATTTTGCCTGCTTTTTATGTGAATACTAATAAATTTTAAATTACCTACATGACTAGCGTTATATTTTCATTGAATGGCACTGGTCCATACTTTTCATTACAGTCTCCAAAAGTTAATGTTGGCAGGAAGGATTTCCTAGTGTGAGAGCTGGTTCACAGAGTACTTTTAACTCTGTTATCATGTTTGCCATCTCACCCCAAACTTAAATAAATAGTAGCAATAGCTCCCATTTACGAATATCTACCATGTGCTAGGCAATGTGGTAATCCTTACCTAAGATAAACACCATTCTTATTTATAATTAAGAAAATTGAGGTTGCAGGAGATTACAGCTTGTGACAATTCTGCAAGGCAATGGCTACAGTTAACCTGTAAGGGTGCTATCTCTGCTCCTCCTCATCTATTTGCTGCTGATAGTTAATTTGAGCCTGTATCAACAAAAGTTGACTAAAGACATAAATAACTGCAGTGGTATATGGAGGTATTACCAAAGGGTAAGCATTTTTTTTTTTTTTTTTAGTATTGTGCTGCCAAAGCAAGTGCGGAAGGTAAGCATCTTGAAGTAATGAAGAAGAATTGAGAGTGAAAGGAGTGTTGCTTACTTATGCAATTTCAATTTTAGCCTACAGATGCTAGCCTCCCTCTGAATCCTCCTCCTTCTCCTACTACAGTTTAAAGCCTGAGATATAGAGTAAATGATTAAGGTGCAATATATAGACTGATAGTCATCCAAGTTGGCATCAAAATGCAGTTTGTTAAACTTGCATTTTCCTAGGTCCCACCCAGACCCAGAGTCCTTGCAGGTGGGTCCCAGGAATCTGTCTTTTTAACAAACACACTCTCCCTCCACCTCACCACAAGGTAACTATTGAACTACAATATTTAAAAACCACTTCCCCAGAAGTACTCCTTTATCCCCAATTTATTGTGTATTATGCTTAGAAGAGAATCATGCGTCCTAGATAACAGCAACTTATCTGTTTCCTCATGTTAAAGGAAATGATAATTATAAATAGCTTTTTGAGGTTATCCTGAGGAGTAGAAATAATACATATATAAAGCACATTGCAACATGCTTGGCACCAAATAGATGTGAAATAAATGGTAGTCATGTGAAACTTTCCTAATCAATTGATTAATTTATGTATCACAAAAGACAAGTACAGAACTCTAATATTCATTATGCAGGTACTATGTTCTTGATGACACGCACATTATTATATTTCATTCCTACAACAATATAATGTAGGTATTTTTTTCAAAGGAAGAAAGAGAAACTCGGAGATTAAGAAATTTAACCAAGGGAACATAAATAATTAGTGACAGAAATAAAGAGGGTCTGACTCCAAAAATCATGTCTCTTTTTCATCTCAACAAACTGCCTCTCAGGAAATTCGATAAGCCATCCAGCTTTAAAGACCAAAGAAAGAAGGTGAAAAGCTATAGCAGTTAACATTGTTGAAGGCCATAGAGGAAGAATCTGCAGCAAATTATGGAAATTCAATAACCGTTGAGTTATTTGTATGTGAGAGCGGATGAAACTCCCAAACCATTTCTGGTAGGGAATGTGCATTAACTTGTTCTACAATGAATTGGCACTAAGCCATTCTGACTCCCCTTCTCTCTCTTCCTCATGACTAACATTTATAAAATGGTTGGCCATGTTTTGAAAGACACTCTGTGAGTACCGACTAGCAAAAAAATAACTGACCCATTGGGAAATCAGATCAACGTCCTCAGCCTCATCCATGGGCTAAGCAATGAGGCACTTGCCACAAAGAAAACCATATTAAAAGCTTCACTTTATTATAACCAGTGCACAAAAAGCTGAAGTAGAAAAAAATGTAGATCAAAAGATTAACTGATTTAACAGGAAGATATTTAAAGAATATTCCATCTAAACATAGTATTTACCTATGTGTATAAATGTTTGCTCTAACGTTTTATTATCCAAGGCATGACTCAGAATCCTCTTGCGGTGCTTCAAAAATAACAGAAACTTTTAATTAACAGATGGCATGGTTGTGACCGAGCTTTTATAGTTGCACCCAATAAACATAAAGTGCCAGTCTTTAAAAAGTTCCTGCATTACTCTAAGTCAATTTATCTTTTAAATCCTAAGCCTAAAAAGCAAATAAACCACTCATAGGTATGATTATTTAATGTTTAAAATCTAGAATGGAGAAGGCTTCTTAACTATTCTAATACCTAAAGAAACATCTGGTAATCTAGGGAGAAAGAGACTGAAGGCATTTGTTATTCTAAAGCTACTACAGAATGCTGGGAGAAGGCCAGAAGCAAAGGAGGCGCAAAGTGCAAGGGAATAAACGGTTGAGAAAGCTCTAAGCACAGATTTGTGAAGTCTAGGTAACTGAGCCAAAGTGCAATTGAGGAAGTTGAAAAGAAGTTTAAACTTTTTAAAACTTCAAAGTTTCAAGTCTTGGATTTGGGAATGCTATTAATAACTGAGGCTAAACGAAAAATAGCAAGTTTTGAAGGCACGATGCATTTCTCTGGCAGTTTCTAGTAAGCAAAAAAAACCCAGTTGCTAAGTGCGGGGTATAAAGAAAAAGGGTAGATAGTAATGGCACTGAAAAAAGTACTGGGAAGCTCCAACTTTGAGATTTCAGAAGGGGAGGAATATTCCTCATGATAAGATCCAGGTTTTGCCAGTCTGATATTTTATTCAGATAAAGTCATTTCTTTGAGGAGGCTGGTGAGTGGCTGAAAGGCTAATGACTATGAATTTAGAGATAAAGTAGAAACAAAACATGTAGGTCAGTAATTGAAAAAGTTTATTATATGAAGAAAAGTGTTATTTGAAGAAAGTCAAAAAAGTAAGAAGTGGTCCTGGTATAACTTCCCGATTACTTGGCCAAAAAATCTCTTTAGCCTGGGAGGCAGAGCAGCCTGGGAAGAAGCTTTGTCCATTGTCCTCAGTTTTTAAGTTTGCCTTCATGTATTAAGAGTTGAGAAGCAGAGGGTTAGGAAAACTAAAAAAGATAAATTCAAATTATTGACTTTCCATGTGCTCATTATAATGTCTTTCACATTTGTAGTAAGTGAGTTAAAGAAAATGTGAAGAAAGATTTAGAATGTTTACTGTAAGAGTAGTCACTTAGAATCATCGACACCTTATTTAGCATAAATCATTAAAATGCTGAGCACATTTCTTATTGAGCAACTCTGTTGATATAAGTGATTTTAAAATCAAATTCATTTTTTGAAAAAAGATAGGGTTTTTGCCCTTTGGATTTCTAAAATTGATGACTTGTTAAATTAGGCATTAAGTTAGGGTTTTTATAAGCAATTATATTAGATTAAAATGTTGTGGTATGACCCACCATCACTTAGAATTTGGAAATAAATGTTTTCTTTCCACATTGTCAACTTTCTAATCAATAAAAGAGCTAGTAACAATTGTGATTATTCTGAATCAAATAAAATACTTCTTAAATCTAGACCTTGTCTATGTATATATTGTAAAGTATAATAATAGTTATCTTTGAGAGACGGGATTATGAAGCCATTAATTTTTTTACTTTATAATTTTCTATATTTCAGATTTTTAGAGAATATCTATTATATCTATATTGAGGATAAAGCAATTTTTCTTTAACTATATGAATTAACTAAATTGTTCATGGTAACATAAACTTATATCAGTCCCAAATTAATTTTAAATTAATTGGTTTTTAAATATCAATTTCTTTAAGTATGGTTTTGTCTCAAACCATTGATGTAATCTCTACTGATCTATTAGGTAGTCTTTTATATTGTCTGGGTTTAGAATTTTTCATGCTTTTCCATGTATCTCTCTTTCAATGGTGGAGCTATGAGGATATAATTATTAATAAGAAT